GAAGAGACAAGTTTATGCACATTCTATGGCTGTGTTCCAAGTACAGACTATTCCCCAAATCCAGGTCAGCTATCCGACCAAGCAAGCTATTGGTTGAAAAGAGAAAGTACCTGAACCAAAAACATTTAAATCTATTACCAGTGCCAGAAAAGTATAAGTTTCAAAATGAAACAAAAGCAACATCATTTTCTTACCATGTAAAACCTAGTATTTTTAAACCACCGCTATATATTTCTTAATGAAAAACTACTTCAAATAGAAATCTCAAGTATAATCATTACTTGTTTTTGTAAACTTATTAGTAAAGTATGATGGATATACAGAAAAGTGTTTGAATGGTGTGCATAAATTTTTATAAAGTGAACACATCTTTGTTATCAGGACCCACATCAAGAACCAGAACATTATCAGCACCATGGAAGCCCTCCTTCTGCTACTCCTGTTTTTTGCTGTTGTTTTGTTTTTTGTTTTTTTTATTTGAGATGGAGTCTCGCTCTGTTGCCTTGCCCAGCCTGGAGTGCAGTGGCACGATCTCAGCTCACTGCAACCTCCACCTCCCAGGTTCAAGCAATTCTCTTGCCTCAGCCTTTCTAGTAGCTGGGATTACAGACACCATGCCTGGCTAAATTTTGTATTTTTAATAGAAACGGAGTTTTGCCATGTTGGCCAGGCTGATCTTGAACTCCTGACCTCAGGTGATCCACCCGCCTTGGCCTCCCAAAGTGCTGGGATTACAGGCGTGAGCCACCGTACCCAGCCTACTCTCCTGCTATTAACATTCCCCTCCTCACCATGTGTAACTGCTATCCTGACTTTAAATACCATAACTTGTTTTTTTACATTTTATATATATATTGAATCATTCATCATTGTCTGGCTTCATTGAACCTTATGTTTATGAGATTCATGCAGGTTGTTGCATTAACTTTCATTTCTGTGTAGTATTTCATTGTGTGAATATATCATAAATTACCTCAGTTCTTCCAAACTGTTATCCAGGTAGTTCCCAGTTTGGGGCTTTTACAACAGTGCTGCTATGAACATTTTGGTACATGTCTTTTGGTGAACATATATGTATCCATTTATGTTGGCTATAGATCTCAGAATGGGATTCGTGAGTCATTAGGTATTCCTAATTCAATTTTGTAGGTTCTGTCAGAATAGTTCTCCAAAGTGGTTGTACAAATTTACACTTCCACCAAAAATGTATGACAGTTCCTGTTGCTCCACATCTTCACCAGCACTTGGTTATTCTGTCCTTTCCATTTTAGCCATTCTAGTGAGTATGAAGAGGTACCATATTTTATTAATTTGCATTTCCCTGATGATTTGAAGCTGAGCAACTTTTTCATACTATTGGCAATTTTTTGAGGTGCTTGTTAATTCTTTTTTTAGTTATTAAGATTTTTGCATTTTTTATTGGTTTGATTTCCTTATATATTCTGGATATAGGTCCTTTATCAGATATTTATTATTATTATTTTGAGATGGAGTGTTAATATGTCCCCAAGCTGGAGTGCAGTGGTAAGATCTTGGCTCACTGCAACCTCCGCCACCCAGGTTCAAGCAATTCTCCTACCTTAGCCTCCCAAGTAGCTGGGACTATACCACCATGACTGGCTAATTTTTTTGTATTTTTGGTAGACACGGGGTTTCACCATGCTAGCCAGGCTGGTCTTGAACTCCTGACCTCTGGTCTACCCACCTCGGCCTTCCAAAGTGCTGGGATTACAGGTGTGAGCCACCACGTCCAGCCCCATTTATTATTTATATATTCTTGTTCCTCCCCTCTTTAAAGACCTCTACACAATTTTGGTAAAACTGGTTATCTATTTCTAGATTCATCTTCTTCAACTCTGGCTCAAATTCGAACAATTTCCTAATCACATTTTCCTTCTTAAGAAAAATAAATTGGGCCAGGTGCAGGGGCTCACACCTGTAATATCAGCACTTTGGGAGGCCGACTGAGGCAGGTAGATCACCTGAGGTGAGGAGTTTGAGACCAGCCTGGCCAATATGACGAAACTCTGTCTCTA